GGAGGGAGGGAAGGAAGGAGGGAGAGAAGGAAGGAGGGAAGGAAGGAGGGAGGGAGGGAAGGAAGGAGGGAGGGAAGGAAGGAGGGAGGAAAGGAAGGAGGGAGGGAGGGAGGGAAGGAAGGGGGGAGGGAGGGAAGGAGGGAAGGAGAAAAGAAAGAAAAGAATAGAAAAGAATAGAAACAGTCAGGTACCACTACATAGCAAGAACAACTCCGAGCTTCTGGAAAAGTCTGAGATTTACGGCTCACGCCTGAGAGGTGCTGTGTCACTTTGCAGCCGGGAGTGCCAGGGACCAAGCTCAGCTTTGTACTATACTAATGTCTTTAGCTCCACAGACTCCAGAAAGCCCTGCCCAGACAGGAGTCAGCCGTCTTCATCATGCAGCACTGCTTCTAAAGACCCCACCTTCAGCACAACTGGTTCTGTTAGAGCAAGGCTGTTGGGGGGCTGGGGTTTATGGTGGGTAGAGGGCACTGGGAAAATCACGCTGGCTAGACAGGGGCTGTCGAGGGATGGTGGGGTGGGCCATGGAACAGAGAGGTAATGGGCCTGGAGAGGTAATGAGCTCTCTGTTACAGGGGTAATCAAGCAGCAGCAGCAGGAGTCCCTGCCTGGGAGTGAGCCCAAAGGCCAAACTCTCAGGGTACCCTATGGGTCCCCAGTAGATGAGGATTTGGCGCCCGCTCTGGTGGTGGGTATCTTTTTCTCCCCTGAGATGGAGTCTTGCTCTGTCCCCCAGGCCGGAGTGCAGTGACGCGATTTTGGCTCGCTGCAACCTCCGCCTCCCAGGTTCAAGCAATTCTCCTGCCTCAGCCTCTGGAGTAGCTGGGATTACAGGCATGTGCCACCACACTTGGCTGATTTTGTATTTTTAGAAAAGATGGGGTTTCACCATTTGGCCAGGCTGGTCTTGAACTCCTGACCTCCAGTGATCTGCCCACCTCAGTCTCCCAAAGTGCTGAGATTACAGGCATAAGCCACCGTGCCCAGCCCATGGTGGGCATCTCTTAGGCTTCAGTACAGTGCCAGGCACAGAGCTAGGCTCATGGGGCCAGGGCTGGGAGGGGGAAGCATAGCCCTGCCTTGAACCATGGTTTCAGGAGCTAGAAAAGGCTTCAGACTGCATTTGGTCCCTTCCTGTTTATGGGAGAACTCAGGTCCTAACAGGGGAAGGGACTTCCCAGCAGTAACCCTAGAGAGGCAGAAGCTGGGCAGAGCTCCTGAGTCCCAGGCCAGAGGAGCGACAGTGCTTCCCCTTAAACCGCACAGCCAGCTGCCAGGGACACAGGAGGAGCTGGCCTCAAAGCTGCAGAGGGCCTCTCCCATCGGCCACTGCTCTGACCTGCCTCCCTTTCCAAATGGCAGGTGGAGAAAGCCATCATGACTTTAAAAAACGCTCAAGGCTGGGCATGGCGGCTCACACCTGTAATCCCAGCACTTTGGGAGGCTGAGGCAGGAGGATCCCTTTCAGCCCAGGAGTTCAAGGCCAGCTTGGACAACATAGTGAGACCCCTTCCCTACAAAAAATGTAAAAATTAGCCAGGTGTGGTAGCGTGCCCCTGCAGTCCCAGCTACTCAGGAGG